ATTTTTTTATTGTTCATTCTAATGAACCCGCTCGTACCTGTGATGAACGCAGTATGGGCACTGACATCACTTCAATTTTGCTGTACCAGCTGCCCTACCAATTCAAAGGCTTGCACGTCATCGCTGAAATCATCTTCGCGCTCAATCTCGCCCTCTTTCTGGTGTTCACCTCTATAAGCGCGTGAGTGCGGCGGGAACCTGTTCAGTGAAGGCGCGATCTCCAGTCCTGCCACCCCATCGAGCTGACCCCCTCTGCACGCACGCTCTGGCTGCAGTGCTCGCTACACGGTTTGGCCAACGATGGGCCCAACGATGCTGTTTCACGAGTCGCAGTCCCTCTTCTTGGGCACCTTTGCCATGGGACTCGCTACCATCGTCAACATGTGCGCCTTGGCCATCGGCACCTCTTGGGGACACAACTTTGCCCTCTTCACCTGGGCCATGTGGTGGCTGGACAGCATCATTTCCATCCTCATCTGCCTCGGTCTGCCCTTTTTGCAATTCACTAGGCACGTGCAATCTCTAGACAAGGTCACTGGCGTCTGGCTTCTGCCAGTCGTTGCTCCAATCGTGTCTGCAGCGAGCGGAGGCATCCTGGCGGACAGCATCCTCCAGCCATCTCAAGCCAGGCTTACCATCATCGTGTCCTACATACTGTGGGGCGCTGGCTTTGGCTTGGCCTTCATCATCATGACTCTCTACTACGCCAGACTGGCCATCTACAAGGTTCCACCAGCCACGCTGATCGTCAGTGCCTTTCTTCCACTCGGTCCTTGCGGTCAAGGAGCGTTCGGCCTCCTCAAGCTCTCCGAGTCGATCTTGCATCTCAGCGACAGATCCAATCAAGCATTGGCGGGAGCTTCCTTGTTCAGCGCTCAGGACGCGCACATCATGTCCATCTCCATCTACGCTGTCAGTACACCAATCGCGCTGGTCTTGTGGGGATTGGGTTTGGCTTGGCTTTCCCTAGCCATTTCATCGCTGGTCGACTTGTGGTTGGTGTCAGAGCTGCAGTTCAACCTCGGCTGGTGGGGCTTCACCTTCCCCCTCGGCGTGTTCTGCACTGCCACCACACAGCTGGGAAGACTGCTCGACTCTGGAGCTTTCAAAATACTTGGTACCATACTGTCGCTGGTTGAGGTGCTGCTGTGGCTCTTCATTGCAAGCATGACGCTGATACGAGTATGGCATGGAACAATGTGAGTAGTGCCGTGCCTAGTCGCTGTGTAGACGCCCGGGTGTAGGCATGAAGTCGACACACAAGACCTGACACCGTCTGTGCCATCCTTGGATCTTCGTTCGCAGCTTCTTTGCTCCCTGCTTAGCTGCTATCGGAGGTGAACCTCCTGCTCACGTTCCCCCCGCACGCAAATACGTCTTTGAGCCTCGCCAACGAAGTCGCTCCAGATCTGCCTCGAGGAATCGATCGAGCGGTTAGTCTTCACATCCATTTCACAATGATCTAGCAGCAATCGCTCCACACGTGAAGCAGTTGTGCGCCACCGAAATGGACCGACTGGACCGCTGCCGACTCTTTATCAACCAAGACGTCCAGAGTAGGCGATGCGGTCTTCGCAGCCGGAAGCCCGCGTTGACCGAATGCAATCACTCCGCAGGCGGCCAAGACCATTGGATTATTCTTTGCCTGGGTCAGCAACATTATCGCCTCGAGGAGGCGGCTTGACGGCACAAGCATCTCCGTGACGAGAAAGGGAAGCGAAGTACGTCACGCCCCGCACCGTTGTGCTGCGCACGCTGAGGACCGCCGCGCGGAAGTCATCCATTGCATGCACTTCACAAGGACACGCTCAGGCACAGGGCGCAACCTGGTCGTTGCGAATGTGTCTATAAACGGTGGGGCACAGCGGCGCTGCTGGGGAGGCTACTTTGCAGTTGCCGATGGTTTGATGCTACACTTCTCCCTCCTCTCTCTCGCTGCTGCTGCTTTCGTCGTCTCTGTTCGCGTTTCCCCGGCGAGTACGCTGTAGTCGATAAGCAGACACCTTGTCAGCTGTGCTTCCCGCGAATGAATCGAGCTCGAGCAAGCACCACACTTGCGCGCTGCAAATCTCATACGTGACTCACTTTACGCTCCCTCTCATCTGCCTCGCTAGTGCCTCTACGTCTGATCCTCTCCTCGGTCTGTTTCGCGCTCGTAGATGCCTGAGTCGCTACGGCATCCGCCCCTGCCCTTCGAGAAGCGCGATCCCGAACTCCACTTGAGGTAGAAGTATCTTCCGCTTTGCGACGAGAAGAGCGCCGTTCGGAACCTGCCCCATCCGCCTCACCACTCTGATCTGCTATGCGTCCTACCTCGGCGCTTTTCCTCTTACGAGATGAGGTCGGCGAGCGACGTTCGGGACTGTCTCCTGCTCTTTTCCTACCATCCGATTCCTCACGCCCATCCGCATCTCGAGCTTGCGCCTGCTGTTCTTGCAGCTTCTCCCTATGCCGCTTGGCGAACCTTTCCCATGCTTGTTTCCTTGCTTCGTCCACTTGTTCAGCATCGATGACGCCCTCGCTCGCCTCCAGTAGCTTGTTCATGTCCGTCCAATCCTTGAGTGCCAGCTTGTCCAACCTCTGCCGCCACACGTCCCAGCTCTGAGACAGTTCTTCTTCCGTATCTAGCTTGACTTGCGCTTCGATCGCAGCATCGCTGGCCGAGTCCACCTTTCGAAGAGCGAAGCGAAGATCCTCGGTCAGATGACGTAGCTTG